CATGTATAAAGGAAATATTTAGAATAAAGCCAATATATAAACTTCCTTTCCGTATAGACGTATTTACGTCAAATTCTCCGGAACCTTGGTTCCACTGACAACTTTTTTTTTGCAATGTTCGTGTTGTGATTCAACAGTGTTAGTTTGAGGCGCGTATAATGAAGGTAGATGGAGCGTGTTTAAAACAATACAGCATCGCTGCTACTGAACTTCTGATTCAGTTTTGTGAGCAGTGGCGAGGATGTGAATACGCTTGGTCGAAGCACCTGCTCTACGTTTGAGAATTTCTGGAATTAATGCGATGCACTTCCCGAGATGTGTATTGATTTTCCCCGCCCACGCGGGCAGCGAGCCGATGGGTCCATTCCACTGAACCCGGAACCAGTCTCCAACCGAAATATTTTAATCCCAACTTTTTAATTGTGATAATAGAAGACAAATATCTTTTGGTTGATGCTGTTGCCGGGCTAGTGTAATGATTTTGATCTGTATCGGTCCAGTACAGAGCTTGTTTTACACGAAGCTCAAATAGAAATTTCGTAATTAACGGGATTGGAAAGACGTACTCTCTGGAGTACATTAACACTCCAAAGCTGTTCTTAACGCCACATCACATACGTCACCAGAGGTAATCGTTAAGCAACAGTGGTTATTATTATTATTATTATTATTTATTATTAGTGTTCTGTCTGGCGACAGGTCCATATGAACAGGATCCTTCCATCCTTTTCTCGGACTGGGACCTGTTCATATACGTTCTTGGCAGATGATCCAGAAGTGGTTTGCCATTGCCTTCTTCTGGGTGTGAATGGAGTAATTGTTGGGATGCCACGGAGGAAAACTCCGTGTTACCTAGACCACGGCCTTGCCCAACACAAGATATAAATTCGGGCACCGCCGGGAATCGAACACGAGACCCCAGGATTACAAGGCCAGCATTCTATAGACCAAAATGTAAGCGGAAGTCACCGTCGGCTAACAGTGACCTCGGTTTCTAGTGTTGCAACCGCATCTTACAATATTTGACTCAGATCATGCGGGTTGCCTAGATCAGGGGTTCTCAACCTTTTTCGCTGAAGTACCACTGATTATAATTTGACACATTAAATGTACCAATAACCAAATGCGTTGAGGGAAAACTTGATGCCTGCCCCCCAGTGGCGTAACCAACGTTTCGCGGTCACCACATTTGTAAGTACTTAAACGAGAAATAGTTTCTCTCTTTAACTGCATTTACCGAAAGAAACTCTACATAAAATATACTGAAAGACCCCAGTAGTGAATAGTTTAATAACTACTCAAATACGTAATTGTGGAAATTAAAGTGTACGTACATATATGACCATTTCACATTGCACGAAAAGTCTATTTTTGGATACATAACAGACCAATTTAGGCTTCATTTCGAAGGTTGTGCTTTCGTGTGTCAGGTTCCAATTCAGTTAATTTGAGACTTGATTGATTTTCTTACTTCGCGTACCACTCAACATTGGCTCGCGTACCATAGGTTGAGAAACGCTGGCCTAGCTCACAGGGGACACTCAGCAGAGACAGACAGATGAGGATCGGACTCATAAGGTGTACCTCGCGACGAACTTGTACCTCCTACATATTTTTGCGTTGTCAATCTGTAAAGACTAATTATTAATTTCTCATCATCAGACGCGTTCGTAAATCAGTATTGGAATCTGATTTTCAAGGATAGTCGAATAATCTGTAAGCTGCCGAGTGTAGCGTTGTGTTTGTGTGTGTGATACATATGTAGCAGTGGGCTTTGTCCTCAGGTCACCGCGCTCACACGGTTTACGTGGGGGTACATCTGCCCGGAAATAAGAGGCGGCCTCACCATCGACGACACAAACATCACCACAAGAACGGGATCAGTAAGGATCCAAATGCGTCCAGCACTGAAGACGACGACCGACCAAGTGAGTTCACATGCACGCAGTCTTTCTGTGTCACTGTAATGAAACAGCTGTATGTCTCATGGGGCACTCTGTGGAGACTCGTAGTTGATCTAGTTACCGAAACGTCGTCGCATGTTTTGAAGTGCGATGCATATGGCCCATTTTATACGCATGTAAGAAAACCGGCTTCCCACTCGTCTGTTCCATGTGTCGTGTATGTACAGCTTCTCGCTCTGTTTGTTTATGCATTTTTCCTGTTCGTCACTGATTTGTTCCCACTAATTTGGTTCTTTGTAGATTTGCTATTATTCCCTTTGAAATAGGTTAAGAATATATAATAATAATTTATTGTGAACATATTTTTGACGTAAATACGTCTATATGGAAGGGTCAGTGTCATTCCGCAAAAAAGTGTAACGAAAAAGGGACAGGAAAATGTGTAACAAGTGTACCTAGGAAACGTTACATTACATTCCATTACGTTACATTCAATTCCATTACGTTACATTACATTCCATTACGTTACATTCCATTCCATTACGTTACATTACATTCCATTACGTTACATTACATTACCTTACATTACATTACATTAAAATACATTACTTTACATTACATTATCTTACATTAAAATACATTACTTTACATTAATTTTTGACGTAAATACGCCTATATGGAAGGGTCAGTGTCATTCCGCAAAAAAGTGTAACGAAAAAGTGACAGGAAAATGTGTAAGATGGTTACCTAGGAAATATCTACAATTTGTAAATATGGACTGACAACAATGGTCAGCTTGCATGCATTGTTATGTTACCTAGGAAACATCATTTGTTTACTCAGCATTGTTGTTACCTAGGAAACGTTACATTACATTACTTTACATTACATTCAGCTACCACAGACCCATCTTAAGCGTAACTAATTCAAGTTAAATAAGCAAAGTCTTAATCAAACTTTACTCAATTGTAAAGCATGTATAAAGGAAATATTTAGAATAAAGCCAATATATAAACTTCCTTTCCGTATAGACGTATTTACGTCAAATTCTCCGGAACCGTCGTTCCACTGGCAACTTTTTTGTACAATTTGTGGCATTAGCCACAAATTGTAAAGTGTATTCTCATTTTGTTTGCACGAGTGTCAGTTGTCATTCTTACAGAAAGGGACTGCATGATATGAGGCAAACTGTTTCTGATTCACTTCTAATGGCATCCACGAGTAACATATACGTTAGTTTATATCAGGTCGAACGCTACTGACAAGTGGCGGATTTAAAAAAAAATGTGGTTACGGTTTTTTTTAAACTTCAGTCGATGCTGGGGAAGGCGTTTGTTCATGTCCGCACATCATTTTATAGTAATTTCCTCTCATATCTGCTGGTGTAGGGTTTAAAATGAATAAGCATTCGTTTAATTAACGACGTATCTTTGAATGAACTGCTACCAACGGCCATGCGCGCAGAACAAATGTTTAATTACTCTCTGATATTATGATTATTTCTTTCGCTGGGCTAAGTTCTGATCTGGATAAATCCAGTCTTTCCCACAGCCTGTTTCCTATTTATATCAGAGGTGCGCGCTGCAACTCGTCTACTAGTCGCCGGTGTTCCCAATGTGACCCGTTCGCTGATTTCACAAACGAGAGACGAACATTTTTAATATTTAAAAAACGACCTGCATTGAGAAATACGTAACAACAAGGACTTAAAGTTTTCGTGTATATGTACGTAGGATTGTCGTAATAAATAACTGACGCTACTGATATCGTCGTTAAATAAACAGCAGATAAATAAATCTTAATAAATGGCTTCTTATAACAGCACAGTTTATTTTAATAAGGATGCAAAAGAATTTGTGATTTCTCTGGTGAAATTCCAAGCGCCGCTAATGCCATATGGAGCAGATGTTTGTAACGTTTGAACTCGGCTGTCAATAAAGGCGACTCAATTGCGGACTGAAATTGCACGCTCACGGCCATGTTGCTTGAACTTTGAACTTTATACATCCCGCTATCGAAATGGAGGTTACGATTTTGTAGTAGTGTTAGATGTACCTCGTTTGAGAATCAAAGCGGGCATCAGACGAATCAGTGGGCCAAATGCATGCATTTTGTGGCCGTGTATAAACCACTCAAAACGTCAGAACTTATAAGAGTAAAGATCACTTGAACACGAAATTAATTATTCAGCCAAAACGAACAAAACAACATCAGTAAATCCTAGTAGTATGGACCAGTATGCATGTTCATCTCCGTCGTCAGAAAAGCCATCAAAAGGTCTTCGAACCAGTTCCATCTAGTTCATATGATCAATTTTCTGAATTCTTGTGAAATGATTTTAATATTGTAAGACTTGAGGTTTTCACAACGGTGAGTAAGAAGACAGAAATCTTCGATTTTAATATTCTTTTGCTCCAGGCCTGTTTACTAACAAAACTCTGTATTAATTTCATGTTTCCACAATTCGCTTAAGTGTCATTCATTTTGCAACTGTAACACAGAAACAGACAGCGAGTTTAATTACAAAGTTCCTCTTTGTTTTGGTTTTCTCCATTCCACACCGTATTCAGTCAGCCTCATTCAAAATTGAATGACTTGAGTTGATTCAGCATCGTTAAGTAAAATTTGAAGGAATGCTGAGTGTTTTCGCAGTTTTCCCTCAGTTGGCTCATTTCTGGAAAGCGCTTTCTAGGCGTTGAATGTCGAAGCAGCTTTTCTGATCGAGGGGCCAACGCAGTGCAGAACCCAGACTCTTTCAGATAGCGAACTAATGGGCTCTGTACGACAGAGTCCTCCTGTGTTCTTCCATCAGGATGTGAGAAACACACAGAACAAGAAATGAAATTAGTTTCGTGCGTTTTAAAATGTGATCGACCAAAAGTAAAAACAAAGCTCTCAAATAAATATCGATGCTTTAGGCAGAATACGTACTGATTTGATAGGAGGTGGCTTTTTACCTGTTTGAATGTAGTATCCTTGGAATTTAACTGGAGGATATCGATAAAAGCACAGAATTTTTCAGTCGAAATGGCTGGTGTGACCCTGAGCCCGATAGATCCCCCGCCAATACAAATGTAGCGTTACTTCTACACCAAACAGTTCAGTTTCAAAGCTTTTAAATAATGAAGGTTATTGCTGTGGGAAATTTTTTGCTGTTTAATGGTAACGAATTCACGTAAAGTGTAGAATAATTTTACTTGGCTCAGATGTTTTCAGCGACATATACAGGAACATACAGCACAGAGAAAATATCACCGCAACGTGCGTGGTGACCCAGACCAGTAAAGTATCAGGCAGTAACAGTATTTTTACAAATATAAGAAGAAGAATATTAGATCGGACTCTCTGGCAGGTGGACTTTGTAAACAACGAGAATTTATATAACTCGAAACAGGATCAGGTAGAAAATTTTCATAGAGAGCGTTTTTGAAAGGTGGTTACTGCCCGCATACCATTTGAAAGAAATCCTCCCTCCCTCCCTCCCACATTAATTGACATGTTATTTCACCGATATTAAATAATGTTTAAGTTACCATGGTTGCTGTTTACAAATGAGAGAAGACATTTTCATTGAACAGCAGTTGGTGTGGATAGGATTAAATTCCAGACAAAGCCTTCTCGTACCCATCCATATTTCTAAGGTATTGAGAAATAAGTTTTGTTGTAAGTTTGTGCTTAATTTTTCTTGTCATGCTGTACTGTAATTATTTGTCCCCTGTAACGACTCGCTTGTTGTGCTTTCACTAGTATTTGAATGGATTTTTGTGACAATCTTGATTTCCAGGACAAATTCTAGTGCCCTGGCGTCGACGTATGAGCGGCATAACAGATGATGGTGAAATATGTAAGCATCGTTTGTGTGATTCTTCTGCGTTGCAGCTGCTTACATGCTTTCATTATTTTGTATCTTACTTTCAGCTGTGATAAGGATACAAATGTTAACACAGACCAAATGAACTTACATACAAACCACCCTGATAAGAGAAATCCTGTGCTCATCATGATCATTTTGGTTTCGACGTACTAATTGAAACGTTAATTTTATATAAACAGAAACTGTAACACTAAGACGCTTATTTGATGACAGATTTATGACATTGGTGAACTGTAGATGGGATCGGAGAGAAATCAAATGGTTACATTTCACTTCAAAACTAGCAAAAAAAAAAATGTTGTTTGATGTTACTGTACAATTAATATATATTTTGTTTTGAGGGAAAAGGAGATACCTTTTACGTTTATTTTTAGTTGTATTAGAATAAGAGATTAAATTCGGGAAATGCTTGCTACTTCTCAGTTCAAAATATTTTGTCTTCCCGTCTGATTTCTAAGAACCTGAAAATTAAAGTACACAAAACAATAATCTTGCCTGTTGTTTTGTATGGGTGCGAAACATGGTCTCTCACTCTAAGAGAGGAACATAGATTCAGGTGTTTGAGAATCGGGTGTTGAGGAGGATATTAGGGCCTAAGAGGGAAGACGATGGGGCGTGGAGAAAACTGCATTAAAAATCTGTACTCCTCCCCCAGTATTGTCAGGGTGATTAAGTCGAGAAGAATGAGATGGGCGGGACATGTAGCGTGCATGGATGGGACAAGAGGTGTGCACCGGGTATTGGTTGGGAAGCTTGAGGGGAAGAGACCGCTGGGGAGACCTAGACGTAGATGGGAGGATAATGTCAGGCGGGATCTATGGGAGATAGGAGTTGAAGGAGACTGGATTTTGTTGGCCCAGGACAGGGTCCGGTGGAGGGCTTTGGTTAATTCGGTGATGAACCTTCGGGTTCGGTAAGCCATCTAGTTAGTTATTAGAATAAGTAATGCCTTTTTTCCCTGCAAATTTATATTTAATTCTTTTATTCCTGCAGAAGCTTAAAATAGATGAATGGGGCACACAGTTATTATTTTTATTATTGCTCATTAATGTGAGACGTAATTTGACCCCGTGACATTGCATTCTGGAAGAAAATCTAAAAATCTGTCGTGGTACTGAATATTGATTAGTACAAACGTGGTCAGTACATTATTCCATAAAGTATATTATATGCTATGTACTGTGTTTCTATTTGTTAATTTTTGTTGAAGGATAAACAGTTTCACTTCTGCAAAAGTGGTAAATACCGCGGCGACCCGATTTTGAACGCCAGAGCAACCTCTTCTCTCGCACCTCTGCGGCTTTAAAAATAAATTTATCGATGCACTTTCCCGTATTGTATGTTCCTTCATGCTGTATGGTTTATGTATTTTAACAACATTGGAATTTAATACAGCATGCATTGTGTGTGATTTATAATAAGGACTGTGAGTGTAATGTTTGTCACTAATGAGAATCCATATAATTCATGTAAATCTGCGTCTGAGACAGAAGTATAAATTCTCCCATTCATGTGAGGTACGGCGTAGGTTAGGAAACTGCCTGTCGACCGGAACGCAAGAGTTTAGTGATGGGAGCATCGGAGCATTTTGGGCTGGGGGGGAGTGGAAGTAGCTGGAGTGTGAGTTTGGTCAGTTGACTATGTCTAGTGTCAATTCTTGATACCATAAACTTTTGTTAAACATTACTGACACAATCCAGCCCATTCTTTAATTTCAAAGACTGCAGTCAGAGTAAATTCTGTTAAGTTGGATGATAAAAAGTGATTATTTTATCAGATTGTACATGTTGGATTAATAACTCAAAACAAACATTCAAAATGAAAAAAAAAACAGAAAATACATTTGAAAAATTCTTAAATATGCAATACTGTACATATCACGAAAGTTACATTTGTGAAATTCCTTCAGCTCCTCCATCATTGTAAATGTGGTAGACATTTTCAGAACTCAATATAACATTAGTTTTTGTTTTCTGATTTTAGTGTAATATATTTTCTGACAAATAGAACAGGTCAGGAATGGGTTTGCATGACTTTGTGATCATTTTATATTATTGCTATAAAATGAAGGCGCTCTGTACTGGCATGAATGTTCCTGTCTTACACACCTGGCAATAATTCATGATGAACATGCAAATCACTCCATCTCTTATAGTACATGGCATAAAGATTTTTTATTTATTTCATATGTTAAACGTTTTGTGTAAATCATGAATAGAACTTGCCCTGTTGGAATGCCTATGTCGTCACAGGAAAACACAGAAAATGTGGACATTTTTCTACACCCCAAGCAGATTCAAACCTACAATCTGTTTGATCAGATGAGGACCATGTGACTACGGTTGTTAGTCCCATACTATATACTGAATTACATTTTGAGTGTATTTGTGATAATATAATTAGGGAGATGATATATTTTAGATTTTCTCAGTTATTACTTTCCAACTTATCAAAACACTGACTGTATTTCTTGTATCCATTATCCAAACTACAGATCCGCCCCATTGTAACTTCCTAGGTTTCAATGGCGTAAGAATACTGTTGACATATATGAAGTTCCTCGTTCTGTAATATCGTAAATTTTTCATTTTATCCATCGTAAGTCATTTTATGTCTGTAAATACTTTTATTATTTTAAGTTGATTTGTATTTGAAATTAAATACATTCCATTTGCAGTTGCTTACCAGTGGTCAAAGTCGTACCCACAATTTGTATTATTTTCCAAAGTGAAATAAAAAAAAACTTTGTTGCCATGGTTCTCTGAATGTTGCAGTCACACCACCAGCCCAACGTGTACAGTTCATACTTGGGGAAGATGTGGATGACGGAATGCACGAGCCTCATCCTCTCTTTGCCGAGATGGGAGAGTTGGTACATGATGGAAATGAAATGGAGTGGAAGGAAACTGCCAGGTATTTGGTTGTAGTATCAGTGATATGTCACAGATAAATAATTCTTTTGGACCTTTGCGTTCTGTGAGGGATTCCCGCGGGTTCTGCAGATTTTATTATGATCCACCAGCTTAAAAAACAATTTCTCTTGAAATCATAGACATGGTATGATTTATTATTAGTGAAAATTGTACACAGAAATAGTTTGATAAATTGAAGATATCCGTCTTCTGGGTTATTGCGCTGTGTAGTCTGGTCGATGTTAACCAACGTTTCAGAGGCCATACTGCCTCCATCATCAGGGCGATTCTTAGTATGAAGATTTCCGTCTTCTGAGTTATTGCGCTGTGTAGTCTGGTCGATGTTTACCAACTTTTCAGAGGTCATACTGCCTCCGTCATCAGGGCGATGAGTATTCATCGCCCTGATGACGGAGGCAGTATGACCTCTGAAAAGTTGGTTAACATCGACCAGACTACACAGCGCAATAACTCAGAAGACGGATATCTTCATACTCACCGCTGTGAAAACCTCAAGTCTTACATAGTTTGATAAATTGTTTATTCATTAATTTATAGTTTCTTTTGGTACTGACGTACTGATAGAGGCATCTAAAGGAAAGTAGGCGTTCTTTGCAGAATGTCTTGTTTGCATTTAATGCTGTGTATTTCATTAAAGTATATTTGTGGCGACATGGATCCACTTGAATAAGAGTTGTCGGATCCAAATGGTGTTCTGTGACAGTCCGTCTAGTAATTCACTGTGTCTACCCTCATAACTTTTTTTTTTTAAAAAAAGTGTCACAGCAAGAATTTTCATCTCACCTGCCTAGTGAAGTAAATATTGACATACCTATTGTAAACACACTACTTGGAATGAAGACAGTATAAAGTGTTTGTTTTGCCTGTGGTTTGAAGTAATTGAATCAAAAGATAAGCCATACCTTGAAGTATGCTTGTGTTGGTTGCTGTAGGAAGGAAGCGTGTTTCTTTCTTTTTCTTTTTTTTTACAGGAAATTACACCAATAAAGTTTAAATTGTGTCTCAACCTGCATACTTAACCAGACTTAATGCGTTCATGCACACATTGAACTTGATATGAATGCCATGCTTTTGAGCATCGTGTATAATATCAGTGAGGTAGCAGTGCAGGTTTGGAATAAAAACAAGTCCTTACATTTTGTGAAATATCTGATCCCTGAAATTATGCAAGAGTTAAAAATAACAAAATAGCACCTGCTTAAAATGTATTCAGCTTTTCGTTTGATTTTTTATTATTATTATTATTATTTAGTGTTCTGTCTGACGACAGGTCCATATGAACAGGATCCTTCCATCCTTTTCTCGGACTGGGACCTGTTCATATACGTTCTTGGCAGATGATCCAGAAGTGGTTTGCCATTGCCTTCTTCTGTGTGTGAATGGAGTAATTGTTGGGATGCCACGGAGGAAAACTCCGTGTTGCCTAGACCACGGCCTTGCCCAACACAAGTTATAAATTCGCTTGGGGGGAGAGAGTGTATAGTTTCTACTGATTCTTAACATTGGCACTACATAGGGATGAGTCAGTGTCATGCACTTTACCCTGGCTAAAGGATCCCTGTATTCATTGGACAGGAGGCTGGGTGGGCCTCAGAGCTGGTCTGGACACAGGCTAGAGAAAAAATCCTCTGCCCCTGTCCAGGATAGAATCCTGGTCATCCAGTCTATAGTCAGTCACTATATTGACTGAGCTACCCTGGCTTAAAAATGTTAAACTGAAGTTATATCTGGGAGCTTTCGAATAATATGAGGAGGAAATTATGCTCAGAAATGGACCACCAAATTACATTATTATTACAATTCCTGGTATTCTTTATATGCATAACTGGAATCTTTCAGAGGAAAACAGGCGTCATTCATTGTTTTCATTACTCCACAACCACAATATTTTTTTCTGTTTGTAGGAAAGTAATAATTTATTCATGGTTAAAGCTTTGAATGTGTAATCTGATGCATAACAAAAAAATGCATTTTAAATGCTGAAGTAAAGAATTTCCTTTTTTATTCTTACAGGTGGATAAAGTTTGAAGAAGATGTTGAAGAAGGTGGTAACAGGTGGTCGAAACCTCATGTAGCAACTCTCACACTTCATTCGTTGTTTGAACTCCGCAGCATGTTACTGAATGGCACTATCATGCTAGACATGGATGCATCATCTCTTGAACAAATTGCGGATCTTGTGCTGGATAATATGGTCAATGCAGAATCTCTGCCTTTTGATTGCAGAGAAAAGGTAAACTGAAAACATTGTGCAGCTTTTTCTTTGTGGATCTCACAATAAGCGATTTCAGACTTTGCAGGCCTGCAGATCTCTTGTTTATGTGGCAATTATATTTCCTGGGTGGGTCAGCTATTGGCAATGTGTGTAAGATTTTGCTGATATTGCACATAATTTTTACCACGTGATGTCACAAGATACAGCTTTTTTTTTTTGACGTAAATACGTCTATATTTTAGGGTCAGTGTCATTCGGCAAAAAGTGTTACGAAAAAGTGTTACGAAAAAGTATAACGAAAAAGTGTTACGAAAAAGTGTAACAATGGTTTATCAACAAATCGACAATATTGGTTACCTAAGGAACATCTATTTACTCGGCATTTTTGTTACCTAGGAAACGTCATCTGTTTACTCGGCATTGTTGTTACCTATAAAACATTTCATTACATTACATTACATTAAAATACATTCCATTACATTACATGAAAATACATTACCTTACATTACATTACATGAAAATACATTACCTTACATTACATTACATGAAAATACATTACCTTACATTACATTACATGAAAATACATTACCTTACATTACATTACATGAAAATACATTACCTTACATTACATTACATTAAAATACATTACTTTACATTACATTCATCTACCACAGACCCATCTTAAGCGTAACTAATTCAAGTTGAATAAGCAAAGTCTTAATCAAACTTTACGCAATTGTAAAGCAGGTATAAAGGAAATATTTAGAATAAAGCCGATATATAAACTTCCTCTCCGTATAGACGTATTTACGTCAAATTCTCCGGAACTGTGGTTCCACCGACAACATTTTAAGTTGTACCAACCTGTAGGTCGTGTTATCATATTGTTAAGTGATAGCCATTGGTTATTGCAGAAGACATTAGTAAACTCTTGTTTGAAGATTCTGTGTCTGAGGGTGAATGTTAGGAAAGTACACAGAAGAAAAGAAAAGAAAAAAATCAATTAGAAAAGTTTTTAAAGTTCATTTATGCAACCAAGGCATTTTGTACTGACAAACGTAGTTGTGTTAATTTTGTTTGAAGCAGCAGAAATGTCGATTAATGGTGTTCTTATCGATCATTTTGGTTATGGGCTATCATAGTGACTATTATTACGACATATTTATTTTACATTTCCAATATTTCATCTTGGTTAGCGCCCCTTCCTTTAATGATTATTCCTTCTACTTTCGAGGAGCAAATAATTGATTTAATTTTCTTATCATCTGTTAGTGTGCCTACTGTAAAAACTAAATAAGTTTTCAATTTTGATATATATTACGTGATTGAGATGGAAACGTATTTAATCTCACAATAAGCAATACATATGTTTGAATTTTTGAGAGAAGTCCTTATTGTGTTCTACGCTCTTTCTCTCCGGTGCTGAACCAATGAGTGTATGCCCTTAAAAACTCCTTTTGACTGGTTTCAAAGCAATTCATGTATCACTATCTTCAGTTCATCATCCGATAAAAGTGATATTCTATTGATGTCTCTTTTGTTGTCCGTGAAAAGTACTTTGTGCTAAGTGTGGCGAGTATGCAGAGAGAAGTAACACTTCAGACCTAATCTCTGGTCTCTTGTCTACAGAATGAACTGTATGAATGTGGGCATTTTTTCAGCAGGCGCACACCTTTCGCTATGAAACCTCAAGTTACATATTTTTTCTTATGGGAAACATCTTGTAGTCTGTGTTAATATCGAGCCTGGTATGATAATTTTGGTGTTCATAACAATCTTAGGATACAAGTCGCTGCCCCCTGTGGACATAGGTTTGGATTTTGTGGGACTTTGAAACTCTGCAATGGTAAATGGTTTTATTTGTTCAGAAAGAAGGATTTGGGTGGGGGCTTGTTTAGCACATAAAAATGTTTCATATGAGAAATTAATCTGCAATTCTTTAAGTATACTTGGTACTTTGAAATAATTGACTTGCAGGTAAGGGAAGCGTTGTTACGTCGTCATCGGCATCAGCATGAACGTCGCAAGGAGACTTCAACATCTAATATGTCTCGACTACCTATTATACGATCTTTAGCAGAAATAGGACGAAATCATTCCTCATCTAAAAGTAAGTGTCACTGCTGTTGTGCGTTACACATTAATTGTTTCCTTGTGGTGTGGGTATTTTTTGACTGAGAACTGGATTTGTACGTAGTGCTGTCAGAATTTCTTTGTGGTCATTCTGTTTCCATAATTAGATGCTTAGATACATACTGGGGATACTGGGAACGACCCGTTCTTCAAGTGCCTGAGCACTGCGGGCCCCAACTTTTCGTTGGCTCGATCTATAGACATTCGGTAGGACTCCTTGGATTAGGGATCGGCCTTTGCAAGGCCTCTACCCGTACACAAGACAGCACAACACAGAAAAACATCCATGGCTTGAGTGGGATTCAAACCCACGGTCCCAGCGACCAAGTGGCAGAAGGCCCACGCCTCAGACTGTGCGGCCACTGCGGACCCCGCTTAGATACATAAAGTTATTAAAATTAAATTAAATTACTACTGATTTTACTCTCAACATTATCCTTGGCATTTTGTGTACTCTTACTGATGTAGTAATTGCTTCTCTATGACATGATTGTCATGATGGGATTAATATTTCCGTCCTCTAGTAAAATTAATGCTTTGCAATATGAAGTCTGACTTGTGAAGAAAGTAAGGCAGAAGATCTATCACATGACTGAGTCGCTGCTATTTTCCAGGTATTCTTAGCTTTATGGCTGTTCATATTTGGCAGTAAGGTCACAAGGAGTCCATGTGAGGAGTGTGTGGCCCAGTTTATTAAGATTATAAATTTTAAAAATGTTGATTGAGGCACATCGTTCAGATTGAGGGGCAAGATTTGTACATTTAGAGTTACAATATTACATGATATACAAGAAATGTACAATGAAGACTTACACTTGACCTACAAATTTTGCTATGTTTCTAGACCAGTATTTTGTGCCTTGATATTTTTCTTACTCTTAATTGAAACAAATGTTATATATATTTGCTCTAGATAACAAATCAAGATAATTGGCACATTATAAAGAAATACAGAATTAACAGTTATAATAATATATGGTCAGCCACGGTGGTCTAGCGGTTAGAACGCTGGCCTTGTAATCCTGGAGTCTTGGGTTCGATTCCCGGCGGTGCCCGAATTTATAACTTGTGTTGGGCAACAGAGTTTTCCTCCGGGGGCTTCCCCGGTTTCTCCGTGGCATTCACACACAGAAGAAGGCAATGGCAAACCACTTCTGGATCATCTGCCAAGAACGTATATGAACAGGTCCCAGTCCGAGAAAAGGATGGAAGGATCCTGTTCATATGGACATGTCGTCAGACAGAACACTAAATAAAAAAATAAAGATCTTAAAAAAGTGCTGACTGCATTTAAGACACCTTGGAAATATTGAATTCCAGTCCGAGTCCTTGCTCTAGAATACCTATGCATCGCAAATGCATGTAAAAACCAATATAACAAATGCTTTGTTATTCTCACAGTTTAATAATCTATAAATTAATTGAAAAGGTGAAATTATTTTGTAACTGGAAAAATAAAGATTTAAAGTTTATATAAAACATTATTATTAGGTTGACAGTCCATTTTGTACAACAATTTTGATTATAGTTTCAGTGTTTATTAAGATCCACTACTTGACTTTAATTAGTCATCTTCAGGTGGTTCTCTTTAATTGTTTAAAACTAATAGATATTTTTGCTAAATTGTATACATGTTGTCTGTTGTTGACTTCACCACGCAATGGACTGTCTTGAGCTGCTAAGTGTATGTAGATGTAATTACAGGTGGAAAGCTATAGTTGACCTCTCATGTAAAACATTTATACATATTACATTTTCTAAATTTAAGGTTTTCGTGTAATTTGACTAAACTTTGGGAAAGAATTGCAATATTTCCATGACTGATCAAAGGTATTGTGTGCCATTTTATTTTTGGTAGTGGGACATATTGCTCTGTTAAAGTGTCCTTTGTATCACCGGCAGTGAGCGTGTTAATATATAACGATAAAAATTATATTTACAAATTCAATAATTATTATTACTCTGGAAGTGAATTTTAGTGCTACAGAAACATACAAAATTTCGAGCTTGGGATTGAGTAGTTTTGCATGTTTCATGCATCTAAGCATTGTTAAAAATAGTAAGGGCTGCAAGCACTGCATTAAACACAAACAACCGATAGAAGAAAGAGCACTGTGTAGGTGACCGAATGATAATATTGTGCATGAAAAGGGCGCTTGTGGTTGTGTGTGTCCAGCATTGCAGGACAGTAACAGGAGTCCACAAATGGAACAGCACTCAGTTTGTCGCAGCACCAGCTGTCCCAGTTCTGAGACAGCCCATTCTGATGTGCAGAATAACAAGGCCCCCTATCTTACAGTTCCAGGTACAAGAGTGAATATTGGGACTTGTAGCTGCTGTTCCCTGTATTGTGCTAGAATGTTAGAAATTCCTCTTCCTTCACTTTGCAGTGTGACGTCCCATGCAGAGGGTCTGTCGAACCCAGTCACGGTTCTTGAACAGCGAAGTACAGCCGCAAACATAATAAGAAAATATCTGTCTTCATTGTATCCACCACTGCCATAATTATCACAGTCATCTTTGTTGCCATAATCACAACCATAACCTTGATCACCACCACAGCTGTGACCAGTCATAGTGATGATGATGATTACAACTGACACTAACCCGGTGTCCTACGTGAGCGATTAAATGCGAGTTGCGTGGGTGAAGCGGAAATATCAAATTGGCTGTTTGTGTAGCGCTGTCCTAGGTTACAGCGAATCAGTCAGGAGAGGAAAGCGACCGAAGTCCAAGATCAAATATTTCGATATTTTCGCGCAGGTCGCCGCGCTTACCAGTAAGGCGCATGCGCAAGAAAGCTCTGCCTGTGCAGTACACGGAAGGGGCATGCGCAGGAAGGCCGTGTGTTTCTATTGCAGTCTCTCACGTAGGACACAACAAGCGATTCCCTTATGTCATATGACACCCCACGCTGCTTATGCAGCTCGCACAGCTTGATTCTTATCGCTCACGTAGGACATTGCCTAAGTGGTCAGCACCACTACCACCAAGGCTACTGTCATTATCATCATAACTTAATTGTCATTACTTAATTACTGAATCATTAACATAATTTCTTGGTTAGGATTTAAGGATGTTTAATTTACAGGGTTACCAGAATTAATTCGCTTCCTAGAAAGCAGATATGACGCATATAAATAAAACTGTTTATTTGTAGTTAGTCAGCTTTGAACTATTGTATTTTTGTTGTTAAAACTGCTACGCTTCTTGCGTAACTTAAGCGCGAGTCTGCCATTTTAAGAATGTAGAGACCTTTGTCACTTGCTTCACTGTTTTTTATACTAGTGTGTGATTTCCCGTAGCTGACTTCATGCCTCATGTGGTGGGATTCACAACTGGGTTTGCAATGTGTCAGATTGCACAAGGTTTGAACCATTTTCTTATTGATGGTTAATATATTCTGATTACTATTCTTATTTCTTTCCTTTGGCTCATTGGTGTGTTTCTACCATCTACAGCTTTTTCTGCTTGCAAATTGGACTAAACTAACTTAATTCCTCACAGTCTTGTTTTATATTATGTATTTATATGTATATTTTAAGCCTGTCGTGGTTGTTGTAGTATTATGATAATATAATTGTTATTACATGTTTGTGCAGTGAAGTGACATGATATTTATTCAGCTTGGTCTTGAAATCTTGTTTGATTGTCCTTAGATTTTTCATGGATGGAGTTCAGTGTTTAATGTCAGCTCTTGGTTGAGAGCTGCGCTGGATGTTTGGTGCAAACCATCATTTTGGCCACT